ACTCCCTGGGTCTTTCAACTTTGGGCGCAATTTGCTCGTGACAATGGCCTACACCTTTCAGTGAGTGTAAAAGTATCAAAATCACCAATTCTAAGTTTCTTGGAAAGCACATCCTTCATAAATTTCATGTAGTTTGGTGTTTGTTTCAATGCTTCCAGCACCAGTTGTTAATGCGTAATTGTCTCAACATACCAATAAACTTCTTGAACTGTTGGTGTTCCTTGCTTTTCTGGAACCTTTAAGAGAATGGTGGTTGAGGTCTTGAATTTGGCTGATTTAACATTGGATGCGACATCACAATCATTAAAGGAGGTACTGCTTCAGGTACTGTTGCTGGCAACAACCCATAATTACTGCTCTGTCCTGCATCCTTTGCTACAACATCTAGTGTAGATGTTGATTTATCCACATCTTTGTCCATGGTATGCTGGTCATTGTCTTTCTTCTTATGCTCCTTAGTAGGCTTTCCAATGTGAATTCTACTCCTTGTTTCGATTTCCTTGCAATATTTATTGCAATAGGATTTGCCATGCATCTGTGGATTTTTAGTGTCCCTAGGCAGCATTCTTGATGTTTGTTGCTCATTGCATGTGCCAGATGTCCAACATGATTTTCCAGTGCTCTTAGTGATACTGACTAGCTTTCCATATACTCTTTCATCAAAGCTTCAAGAGAAGTTAGGTTGGAAGCTTGATTAGAATGTTGCCCTTGATAATTGTGACATTGATGTGGTTACACAACTTGTTGCTCTATATGATGCTGGGGCATCATCTGCATTAATTATACTGTTGTGGCTGATTATAATGATGTTGCTATGAATTTGCAACATTTTGGCTCCTCCATGATAAATTGGGTGCTTACAAAAATTGGCATTTTATATGTTCCCATAAGAATGAGCATCATCATTCCATTATAGTTCTTCACATGATGATAGATTCGGGATTTTGTGGGTATTCCTTACAGTTGTACGCATCACCCCAATAAACACAACATAGATGATATATGGTTTTTACCTTATAAATGTCTGCTGGTTTTTGAAATTTCTTAACCATATTTATCAGTGTTGTAATTTAGGAAGCCATTGAATTTAAAGCATCAGCATAAACTGCTGCAACATTGTGTTTGTTAAATATGCTCCTCGTATTGGGGTATTGATAATCGTTGTTAGATTTTCTTTCTAGAATATCAAAGGCCTCATTGTATGTTTTATCCAATAATGGTCTATTAGCATAAGCATCAACCACCATACGAGTATGCAAGTTCAACCCATTCTAAAACATCTCCATTTACATCCAATTGGGGAATCCATGCATTGGACACTTTCACAATAACTCTTTAAAACGCTCCCAAGCTTCATATAAATCCTTGTCTCCTACTTGTTTGAAGGAGGTAAGGTTATTCCTCACCTTCGCATTCTTATTGGGAGGATTGAAGCACAACATATATTTTTGTGTTAATTTATTCCATGATGCTATAGCACCCAGAGGCAGTGAGTTTAGCCATGTTCTAGCTTTGTCTCACAGTGAGTAAGGAAAAAACTTCAGTTTTAAAGCTTCTTCTGGAACCCCTTGCTGTACAAATGAATCACACACCTCCATGAATGCTCGAAGGTGTGCTCTTGGATCGTGGTAAATGAACCACTATAATGTACCATGGACTACAACATCTAAAACATAATCGGCTTCAACTCAAAGTTCGTAGCCTGGATTGTTGGTCGTACAATATCGGGATGTAAATCGTCTAAGGTTGGCACATCGTGTTCTCTAATAGGTCGATTGTGATCATCTATATTGTAAAATTATTGTTGTTCTACTCCATTGCTAGGCGATAATTCTCCATCTTCAGCATGGTTTAACGGTGGTAAAGCATTGTGACCATGTGCCATTGTGACAATGGCACTACACCCTTCAGTGAGTGCAACAGTCTCAAAATCACCAATCCTAAGTTTATTGGAAAGCACGTCATTCATATTTCAAATAGTTTGGTGTTTGTTCCAATGCTTCCAGCATCGGTATGTTAATGTGCAATTATCTCAACATACCAAGAAACTTCTTGAATTGTTGGTGCTCCTTGCTTTTCTGGAACCTTTAAGAGAATGGTGGTGGAGGTCTTGAATTTGACTGATTCAACATTGGTTGCGGCATCACAAGCATTACATAAGGTACTGATTGAGGTATTGTTGTTGGCAACAACCCAGAATTACTGCTCTTTCTTACATCCTTTGCTACAATATCTGGAGTAGATGCTGTTTTATACACATCCTTGCCCTTAATCTACTGGTTATTGTCTTTCTTCTTAGGCTCCTCAACAGGCTTTCCAATGTTAAGTTTACTCCTTGTTTTGATTGTCTTTCAATGTTTATTATAACAAGCTTTTCCATGCAGTTTTAGATTTTTAGTGTCGCTAGGTAGTATTCTTGATGTCTATTGCTCATAACATGTGCCAGCTGTCCAACCTAATTTTCCAGTGCTCTTAGTGATACTGACTAGCTTGCCATATACTCTTTCATCAAAGCTTCAAGAGAACTTAGGTTGGAAGCTTGATTAGAATATTGCCCTTGATAATTGTGACATTGATATGGTTTCACAACTTGTTGCTCTATCTGATGCTGGGGCATCATCTGCATTAATTATACTGTTGTGGCTGATTATAATGATGTTGCTATGGATTTGCAACATTTTGGCTCCTCCATGATAAATTGGGTGCTTACAAAAATTGGCATTTTATATGTTCCCATAAGAATGAGCATCATCATTCCATTATAGTTCTTCGCATGATGATAGATTCGGGATTTTGTGGGTATTCCTTATAGTTGTGCGCATCACCCCAATAAACACAACATAGATGATATGTGGTTTTTACCTTATACATGTCTACTGATTTTTTAAATTTCTTATCCATATTTATCAGTGTTGTAATTTAGGAAGCCATTGAATTTAAAGCATCAGCATAAACTGCTGCAACATTGTGTTTGTTAAATATGCTCCTCGTATTGGGGTATTGATAATCGTTGTTAGATTTTCTTTCTAGAATATCAAAGGCCTCATTGTATGTTTTATCCAATAATGGTCTATTAGCATAAGCATCAACCACCATACGAGTATGCAAGTTCAACCCATTCTAAAACATCTCCATTTACATCCAATTGGGGAATCCATGCATTGGACACTTTCACAATAACTCTTTAAAATGCTCCCAAGCTTCATATAAATCTTTGTCTTCTACTTGTTTGAAGGAGGTAAGGTCATTCCTCAGCTTCATATTCTTATTGGGAGGATTGAAGCACAACATACATTTTTGTGCTAATTCATTCTACGATGCTATAGCACCCAGAGGCAGTGAGTTTAGCCATGTTCTAGCTTTGTCTCACAGTGAGTAAGGAAAAAACTTCAGTTTTAAAGCTTCTTCTGGAACCCCTTGCTGTACAAATGAATCACACACCTCCATGAATGCTCGAAGGTGTGCTCTTGGATCGTGGTAAATGAACCACTATAATGTACCATGGACTACAACATCTAAAACATAATCGGCTTCAACTCAAAGTTCGTAGCCTGGATTGTTGGTCGTACAATATCGGGATGTAAATCGTCTAAGGTTGGCACATCGTGTTCTCTAATAGGTCGATTGTGATCATCTATATTGTAAAATTATTGTTGTTCTACTCCATTGCTAGGCGATAATTCTCCATCTTCAGCATGGTTTAACGGTGGTAAAGCATTGTGACCATGTGCCATTGTGACAATGGCACTACACCCTTCAGTGAGTGCAACAGTCTCAAAATCACCAATCCTAAGTTTATTGGAAAGCACGTCATTCATATTTCAAATAGTTTGGTGTTTGTTCCAATGCATCCAGCATCGGTATGTTAATGTGCAATTATCTCAGCATACCAAGAAACTTCTTGAACTGTTGGTGCTCCTTGCTTTTCTGGAACCTTTAAGAGAATGGTGGTGGAGGTCTTGAATTTGACTGATTCAACATTGGTTGCGGCATCACAAGCATTACATAAGGTACTGATTGAGGTATTGTTGTTGGCAACAACCCAGAATTACTGCTCTTTCTTACATCCTTTGCTACAATATCTGGAGTAGATGCTGTTTTATACACATCCTTGCCCTTAATCTACTGGTTATTGTCTTTCTTCTTAGGCTCCTCAACAGGCTTTCCAATGTTAAGTTTACTCCTTGTTTTGATTGTCTTTCAATGTTTATTATAACAAGCTTTTCCATGCAGTTTTAGATTTTTAGTGTCGCTAGGTAGTATTCTTGATGTCTATTGCTCATAACATGTGCCAGCTGTCCAACCTAATTTTCCAGTGCTCTTAGTGATACTGACTAGCTTGCCATATACTCTTTCATCAAAGCTTCAAGAGAACTTATGTTGGAAGCTTGATTAGAATATTGCCCTTGATAATTGTGACATTGATGTGGTTGCACAACTTGTTGCTCTATCTGATGCTAGGGCATCATCTGCCTTAATTATACCGTTGTGGCTGATTATAATGATGTTGCTATGGATTTTCAAAATTTTGGCTCCTCCATGATAAATTGGGTGCTTACAAAAATTGGCATTTTATATGTTCCCATAAGAATGAGCATCATCATTCCATTATAGTTCTTCGCATGATGATAGATTCGGGATTTTGTGGGTATTCCTTATAGTTGTGCGCATCACCCCAATAAACACAACATAGATGATATGTGGTTTTTACCTTATAAATGTCTACTGATTTTTGAAATTTCTTATCCATATTTATCAGTGTTGTAATTTAGAAAGCCATTGAATTTAAAGTATCAGCATAAACTGCTGCAACATTGTGTTTGTTAAATATGCTCCTCGTATTGGGGTATTGATAATCATTGTTAGATTTTCTTTCTAGAATATCATAGGCCTCATTGTATATTTTATCTAGCAATGGTCTATTAGCATAAGCATCAACTACCATACGAGTATGCATGTTCAACACATTCTAAAACATCTCTATTTACGTCCAATTGGGGAATCCATGCATTGGACACTTTCACAATAACTCTTTAAAATGCTCCCAAGCTTCATATAAATCTTTGTCTTCTACTTGTTTGAAGGAGGTAAGGTCATTCCTCAGCTTCATATTCTTATTGGGAGGATTGAAGCACAACATACATTTTTGTGCTAATTCATTCCACGATGCTATAGCACCCAGAGGCAGTGAGTTTAGCCATGTTCTAGCTTTGTCTCATAGTGAGTAAGGAAAAAACTTCAGCTTTAAAGCTTCTTCTGGAACCCCTTGTTGTACAAATGAATCACACACCTCCATGAATGCTCAAAGGTGTTCTCTTGGATCTTGGTAAATGAACCACTATATTGTCTCATGGACTGCAGCATCTAAAAACATCATCAGCTTTAATTCAAAGTTCGCAGCATAGATTGTTGGTCGTACAATATCAGGATGTAAATTGTCTAAGGTTGGCACAACATGTTCTCTAATAGGCCGATTGAGATCATCCATATTGTAAAATTGATGTTGATCAGCTCCATTGCTAGGCCACAATTCTCCATCTTTAGCATGGTTTAACGGTGGTACAACATTGTGACCATGTACTTGATCACCCATGTTGACTCGATTACAATTGGCTTCTCTTCGATAATGGCGGAATGTTCGTTCAATTTCAGGATCAAATGGATCTAGATCGACATCGCTTAGGGACATAATATAGCACAATAAGCTAAAATGGAAAATAGGGACCTACAAAAAAGAAAAGAAACAAATAAGTAAATGAAAATAAAATCTCTAATGTAAAGTTATTTCTCCCCGTCAACGGTGCCAAAAGCTTGATGCTTATAATAATAATGCTACAACACAATGCAAGCATACACTATCATATCAAAGTAATAAAGTGGAAGATAAAAGTTTATAGTAGAGTTGTGTAAAAGTATTAGGAAAATATATGATTGCAATAGTGAAATAAGAGAAAACAACAAAGTATAAATTCATAATGATAAAAGCAGGGAATGATATAGGGAACAGTAGAGCAATCAGACAAATGGACCAAGCAATGATGTCGTTATCTGGTAGCTTTCAACATAATAATGTTGCAACAATACGATTGTGTCTCAGGCAATGATTAACAAATTAATTCTTCTAAGATATTAATCACTTAGCCAACAGAATTAACTATAATCAATTCTATTAGTTAAGTTGTCAAATAAAGCATAGAAGCAACAATATAAATCTCTTTGCATTAACATTACTCTCATAATAACCAATGTTGTCATAAGTAGCATGCAATCTTAAGATTTCTATCTATATAAATAACCAAGATTAAACACACATAAGATTATTTTTATTTCTAAAAATAGTTTCCAAGAAATCCCAACAACATAATCACATCATAAAAGCAAAATCAAATTGAAAAACTTTTCAGCAAACATCTTGTGTTCAAATCCAAATGAAAACATTAAATGTAAACATCTAATCTTATATAATAGTACCATCCCTTCTCAAGTAAGAACTACAAAACTCGATTGAATCTCGATCGGTCGTCACTGCTACACGGCGTCGCTTCCAACTGCTGCAGTATTCCCCGATGATGGGTTTAAGCTTCCATGGAATGTGGTAAAGTAGAAAAATAAAAGGAGGCTATGGAAAAAGTACGGTTCCAATAGATGAAGAAAATGATGTACTTATAGCCTCATAGGGTCAAACTTTCCACCAATAGAAAAGTTCCTTTCTTATCTAAAATTCCTTTTATTTAAAATTTAAATTTCAGCCTTATCTTCAATAGCTTCAAATTCCAACCTTATCTTCAATAGCTATCCACTCCTAAAATTTCTCTAACTATCTGGTGATGCATTGAATGCTACAACAACGACTCATCAATTATGTCTTGTATCAGCTCACAACAACACTTACAACATCAGACAAAGTCACAACATCAGAGTAGCAAATTCACATTAAATCATCAAAATCATCCCTAGTATCAATAATTTCTCCCAATATGCAAAAAATGTAAAATATGTTAAAATTGTTCTAAATGTGATCCTAAACATGCTAAAGTTCAAGCTTAACCTAAGTAAAACAACCCTAAATAATAACTCTTTTGGAGAGTTATCAGTAGGTTTAAAAAATGTGCAATAACTTTCATATCGTTCATGAATGTTAAAATTGACAAATAACAAATAATACTCCAATCACGCAGGATCAACATGCAGACAGAAATTGAATATTAGTCTTGAATATCAATAACCCTAATTTTTTTACAATAATCTCTAAATCAATTGATTCTTAATGATTTAACATGATGAGGCGATGATACCACTTGATAGAACTAAATCATAATAAATATGAAAATCAACCAAGAAATAATCATATCAACCCATCAAGAATAAAATAAACTAGATTTGTAGAAGCATACATGAATCTATTGTTGGAGATTATCTAGAAGGTTGACATTTTGAAGATTGTCTTGGTTGTGCTCTTCCAAGAATATAAAATTCTCTTGAGTATAAACTCTCTGACGGGGATAAGACTAATACGAGATTATTTATTTCTTGGAGACCATAACCCCTTTATATAGCTTATTTAAGAATCAGTTATTGTATGTACTTATAACTCTGCCCCTCAATAAATACAACTTTAATAATATCTACACTTTTATTTCTATGACGCTTCTAATACCTTATGAATTTATAACATAATTGATCACTTATTTTATGTCATATTTTATGATAACAATATACATTAAAAATATATACTCATAATTATGGATTTCAGTCCAACATGATTTTGTACAGGTTTCTGACAAAACGGTCTGTGTTTCATCCTACTCGTATCTTCCAGCTAGTCACAAGGATGTGCAGCTATTCAAATAAAGCTATTTAGCCCTAACTAGGAAATAGTTTTATTATATCATTAGCCTGTATAATGTGCTTTCTTCATAGTTTTTAGCCTTGACTTTGACTTATAAACAAAATGATTTCCTATCCATTAAATTAACAAAAGTGTATTTTTGGGGCATATCATTCTTCAGTCAACTAATAGGAAGAGAATGCGATGACAATTCACTGTGTTGGTGCATTATGATTACGTGATTGGAACGTGGTGAGATATTACGAAGAAACTGTGGTCCTGAGATACTCAGAGGCAATACAATTTTCTGAAGTTTATAAACTCACCACTTATTAGAGGACGATCCCTTACAACCACTGCAATACGAGGTTTCTCTGGTAACCGATATTCAACTAGAATGAACTATTATCGGTCATAAGTTTGAGATTTAAGAAAATCAAGGCTATCTTGGATTGGAAAGTTCCAAAGAGTGTAATTGAGGTTCGTAATTTCCTTAGGCTAATTGATTATTGTCATAGATTCATTGAGAGTTTTTATCATTGTTTCTCCTTTGATAAAATTGATCGAAAAGAATGTTATGTTCGAATGGTTTGAGGAAAGACATTGAAGTTTTGACTAAACTCGAGTCCGATAAATATTTTGTGGTTCATAGTGATGAATCATGCAATGGTCTTGGTTGCATGTTCATTCAAGACAAATAAGGTTGAGACATATATATCGAGGTAGTTGAAGCCATCAGGAAAAAATTATTCGACTCGTGATTTAGAGTTTAAATCCATGGTGTCTGTACTTCAAATTTTGCATCATTATCTTTATAACAAGAGTTGTACCGTTTATATTTCAAAAAAAAAAAAAAAAGAGTTGTACCGTTTACACCGGCCATAAAAGTCACAAGTACTTTTTTACTCAAAAGGAGCTTAACTTAAGAAAAATGTATTAGATAAAATTGTTAAAGGATTATGATTGTTTGATTTAGTATCATTCGGATAAAACGAATGTGGTTATTGATGCGTTGAGTAGAAAGATTTTAGTGGAGTTGTAGGAGATCTTTGCTAGGATGTGTGTAACTGGAGATTTTGCCTTGGTGGTGGAACTACATTTATCACAGTAAATTAAGGATAAGAAAATGGATGATCACCTTTTGGGTAAAAAATTGCATCAAGTAAAGAATGGTTTTGGGTTGATGTTACCCTTAATGTTGAGGGTATATTATGTTTACATGGTTGTTTGTGTGTGCTTGATAATTGTGAATTGCGACATGTGGTTCTTACCAAAGAGTATAATAGTTTTTTTTTCGCATCGTAGTAGTGTTAAGATGTACCAAGATCTCTTAGAGATATATTGGAAACCATGGATGAAAATGGATGTAGTTGAGTTTATCTCAAAGTGCTTTGTGTGTTAGAAGGTAAACTTTGAACATCAAGTTTTGTCGAGATTATTACAACCTATTAAGATTCCATAATAGAAGTGAGAAAAGACCATGATGGAATTTGTTTCGAGTTTGCCTTTATCCTTGTCGAAGAAGGATTTTATTTGGATGATTGTGGATAGATTCACGAAGTGTGTGCATTTTCTTTGAGTGTGTACCAGTTTCTCTTTGCAAAAGTTAGTAGACTTGTACATTCATGAGATTGTGTGATTGTATATTGTTTTGCTATCTATTATTTTCAATAGGGATCCATGTATTACTTCAAGGTTTTGAAAAAGTTTGCATTCCACCTAGGGGTCGAAATTGAATTTCAATACGATTTATCATCCGCAGACGAATAGTCAGTCGTAACATGTGATTCAAGTCTTAGAAGATATTCTTTGGGCTTGTGTGATCGAGTTCTATGGTAGTTGGGAGAGATATTTTCTTTTGGTTGAGTTTGTTTACAACAACAATTATCAGTCGTGTATTTAGAAGACTCCATTTGAAGCGTTATATGGTCTTAGGTTTCAAAAACCCTTTTGTTGGTATAAGATGAGCGAGAGTCATATTGTTTGTGATAGTTTGAAGGCTGCTTTCGATCAACAAAAGTCTTATGTAGATTTAAAAAGGAAAAATATTGAGTTTCAAGTGAGGAATCATGTGTTTCTTGTGGTGTCGTATTGGAAAAAGGTGTTGTGTTTTGGGCATAAGGCTAAGCTTATCCCTAAATTTATCAAACTATTTTTAAAATCACGTTGAAAACTAGAGTGAAAATTTTGACCTAAAAGTTGCACATGAAGAAGGTTAAAGAATCCACAAGACACTTAAAATTGATATATTTTTAAAACTTGAGTGTTGTCTCGATTTTTTTTAAATAAAAATTTAAATTTAATTCATAATTTCTCAAATTGATACAAATCTAATTGATGAGTTGAACCCTTCTGCAAGTAAAACATTTTTTATTGTTTTAAAAAAATTAAAAAGATGTTCACATGGTTTTGTGAAGGATGTTTTCCTATTATGAATAATTGACAAGATATTACTCGAGTAAGTTAGTACATCACCACGTTAATTATTGCAATAAAACAAATTTACCTTAATTATATTAAAAAATGAATCGAAAATTTTTGTGAAGGGTTCTATTATGAATAATCAACAAAATGTCAACGAATATTGATACAAGTAATTGTGATTTAGAAATTTCATCTTGTAAGGTCAAGTTCGAATTTTACTACCATTACTCTTAGTGGACAATCTGTAAATTTATATATAAATCTCAATTGGGTCTTAGGTTTGTGTTGACCCTGAACTTGGAAAATAACCCTTGACCTAAACTTTTATTGTAACAAAAAAACTAATCAACAAGATAACATTTTAGTAAGGTAGGAGACCTCTTTGTTAGTTACTGTAATACAACAACATTGTCTTATTCTAGAAAAATGAAGGATTTTTTTACAAGAATGCATAAAAGAGATTAGTAACACTTTCAATACTAATACTAACAATAAATAAAATAGAGCTAAACTGAAAATTATTAAAAATATAGGGCTAATATTTAATTAAAATACTAAATTAAGACTCAATTGCAAAAAGAAAAGGCAAATTGAGTTAGTTTAATTCGATTTTACCTATCAAATCAATTAGGCATATTTGGTTTTGATGGAACAATTAAAATGTTTAGTTGTAAATTTATAAAAATAAAATTGATCAAACCAACTTAATGCACATGGCCCTATCATATATGACACTTTTCCATTTTCTGTTTCAGTAGTAAAAGAGATTATTGTTTTTTATAAAAGAAATTAAGTTCGAACAATTATATTAATAAATTGTGTTATTAATTAATTAAAAAAATTAAACATATGTTTTATTGTAATCACTCATGCTATTAAAACAATATAGTGTATAGACAACCATCCTATGTAATTTGTATGTTATGCTGAATTTAATGTGATTACGCAGTTAATTACATCACTCAATTTCTATGTGTCTTAAGCAATATTTAGCTCTGTTTCATATATATGGTAGTTTTAGTTGTTGCTCAAATTTGTTAACCTCAAGGGTGGAGAGCAGGGGCGGAACACAGTGAGGACCAGTACGGCTACGGCTCTCAAAATTTAAAAAAAAAAATTAGACTCTTCAATTTTTTTAAAAATTTAATTTAATTTAATTTAATTTAATTTTCAAATTTCCTTTTTAGAAATTTAAATTAAACTTTAAATTTTTTTAATATTCTTAATTAAATCCCTCTTATAATTTTTTAAAAGTTCTGATTAAGTTTTTTAAAATTTTAATTAGACCCCAATTTTTTTTGAAAATTTAAACAAAACTTTTCGATTTTTTTTCCAAAATTTTAATTTAAACCTTTAAATTTTTAAGTTGGCCCCAAACGCTGTACTCAAGTTCCACCAATAGACTGAAGAGCAGAATTGCAAATTCTAAACTCATATTTGGCAAGTTCCAAACCATTCATGTGCTCATTGCCTTCAACAATACCAGAGGCAAAACCCCATGCATTTATTCCAAACAACAATGGAATGGTCAGACAACTGCGCGACCATCCCAGCAAGACAAGGGCATGCCGAGAACGATCCTCTGCGGCCAATGAAGTCCCTATGTAATAGACTGCAGACCAATAATCAAGCTCTGATCACACAGTCTGGGTTCATCAACCATTGAATCCTGTCTCCTTAGAACTCAAGGATACACAAGTACGATCCTATAGAACGATCCTGTTCAAGTAAGGTCGTGCCCTACAGGCTTCTGGTTTAACTTAAATATCGTTCTGCTTTGTCTTCCCTTTCTCATGTGGGAATTTGTTCGATTCCTGACAACACATTCAGTATTTTATCCTACGCGTATCTTCCAGCTTGTCACAAGGATGTGGACCTAGTCAAATATAGGTATATATCCATTAAACTAACAAAAGAGAGTTTTGGGGGCAGATCATTCTTCAGTCAACTCTTTGGAAGAGAATGCAGATGGCAATCCGCTGTGTTGTTGAATTAGGGTTAGGTGATTGGAACGTGGTGAGATATTATGAAGAAGGTTCTGAGAGGCAGTACAATTTGTAGGGGTAACCTTGGAGGGCCAAAATCATAAATGAAAACCAAATAATAAAACCCTTTTATATAATCACTATTGAAATCTCTGGTTTCACGTACATTGAATTATTAGGATGAAATGGGAAGGGGCATACGCAGCTGGATGAAAGAGACGACACTTGGGAGATTTAAGTAAACTTGCAAAAGGAACACTGATAATGCAACAGCAACAATGCCTGAGAAATGGAATGGCGGTGGCACATGATGAGGATTGATTCAGCTGCAGTTTTGGTTGTTGGGTTTGATGCATTGCCATTTATAATTCAAGCTTTACCTTTGGGACCAAAATCGGTGCTGGGGTAGAACCCGACAGTTGAATCTGGTTTTATTAATTTAACATTCATTGTTTTGACCTGCTGCAGTATGTTGCATGAGCTGATGTGAGATTAAAGCTTCTGCTTTCTTAGTGCTGCATTGGGATTTTGAATATTTATTATTTCCTGTAAATCTCACCAACTTAAGTGCTTATAAATGGTTGCCACGGAAAAAACATTGAGCCTTGGAATCCTGTCTCCTTAGGACTCAAGGATACACAAGTACGAGCCTATGGAACAGATCCTGTTCAAGTAAGCTCGTGCCCTACAAGCTTCTGGTTCAAACTTAAATACCACTGGCTTTGTTCTGTCCTTTCCCGTGTGGAATTTTGTTCAGGTGCTGTCAATCAATCATTTTGCGGGCAGATTGTTCTTCCAGTCAAGTCAGGATGCAGATGCAGCAGTCAATGGTGATGGCAATTCGCTGTGTTGTTAAATTATGGTTAGGTGATATTATGAATAAATTGTGGTCCTGAGAGGCAGTACAATTCGTTGAAGTTTATAAACTCACCACTTACTACAGGATGGTCCCTTATAACCACTAAAATCTCATGTTATTTTCTGGTACTCAGTCATGAGTTCTGTTTGCCTTCCTCTGCAGAATAGCTGGATTAAACCCAAATTTCTGACAACAACTCAATGATATGAATTTAGTATCAATAGTTATTCTTCTCAAATGGTTGGAACAACTAATCATGTTGAGAGGAGAAAAATGATCCCACATAGACTAAATCAAGGATTAGATTGTGATTATTTAAAGTAAATGTCAACTTTCCGAGATTTTCCTCTATAAAAAATAGGGTAACTACACGCTTAGTACTTAAACTATTACTTTTGTTCCGTTTTGGTATCCAAATTTTATTTCTTTTAAATAATTCATAACGTTTAGTTTAGGTTTCGTTTTGGTACCGAACGAAAAAAAATAATAGAATCATTAACGTAGAATTTTTTTATTTTTTCAATGATGATTTGGCATTATCATATGTTATCGAACTCATGCCTCCAATCCATTACATGTCTCGTCATGTTACAAGCAGACATGATGCTCCTCAAACCCTCCTAGAATAGCAATAATAAAAAAACATTTGGTCCCTAGATTCAATCTCATTTAAACATAGGACATACATATCACCAATGTTCATGCCAAACAATAACAAACAACTTTTAGTAAGGAGTCTATCTAACACTGTCATCCAAAAGATGACGGAGCTCTTTGAGATAATATAAGTGTTTTCATTTAAATATGAAATGAAAAAAATAGCAAAAAAAGAAAAAAATAGTCAATTGAAACCTAAAAAATTTAACTTCAAATTGTTTTTCATTTAGATATTTTTTTGATGAAATAGAAGTAAATTTATTATCATAAAAATCCTATAAATTATATTATAATCTTTAAATCTTATAATTTTTTTGTTTATCAAATTTTTAAATGGATGCAATTTAGTCCGATTTGATATTAATTTCAATTATACATTTTACAATTGTTTCAATTTCATCCCTATGTATTGTCTAATTTATTTAATTTTTAATTTGTAATTTCATATTTGTTCAATTTAGTCCTTACTGTCGACACAGTTTTTCGCCCGGGCGGAGAAAAGATCGATACCGACTCTAGGGTTTTCTCTTTGAAAATCGTTTCGAAATGTGAGGAGTCGCCATCAATCATTTAAGGTGTGATTGGAACACCATAAAAATAGGTTGGTTTTAATAAAACATTTTATTTTTATCAAAATATCGAGTTTTAGGGTCTATAAAAATCCAAAAATTGGGTTTGGGAGTCAATTACGCGTGGGGAAGTGTTGAAAACATTTTGATATTTCAATATAACTAAATGAATTTTAATATTTTTCAAAAGATTTTCTAAGTATATTCAATATAATTATTCGAATATCAAAATATTACTCCAAATCTTTCAAATGTCATTTTTAATCCTTACTCAAGTGTAAAATTAAGTTTTAATCTTAAAATAATTTCAGAACAATTTTACAAAGTATTTCGAACCGTTTCAAGCCAAAAATTCCATATTGTCCAGAGGGAACCGATTCCCCTCCCAAAGTTTTATTAATTGATTTCACACTAAAACGACTCTATTGACTCCACTAATCATCCCCAACGTTCAGAATCATTTGAAGGTGTATTTAAACAAGCTTAGAAGCCATTGATCAAGAACAAGAAGCAACAATTATCAAGAATTGAGAGAGAATCAAAGAGAAAGCATCAAACTCATTGTTTAAGCACTTCAAGCCTATTTTTCATTCAATATTCATTGTGCTTTCAAGAACACCATTTGTGCTCTATTGTATTATCCTTGAGTGTTCTTTATTTGTTCTAGAATTGTGCAAACAATCTACCTTGTGAGGTTTTCCTTGTAAGTTTGCCAATTTGTGTATTTCTGTTTGAAAAAGAGTGTGCTCAAGAATTTGGGGTATTGTAACAACCCGAATATTTACAAAATAGTATTTAATTGAAATTAGAGGTTAATTGTGAAAATTGGCAAAACTTTGGGGACTAAATTGAAAGATTTTAAAACTTGGAGCTTGTTTTAGAGTTAAAGAAAATTCAAGGACTAAGCCCTGAATTTACCCAAAAAAGGTAGGTAAGTTTGGGGTTATATGTTATATACGTGTGGGTTCTGTTTCAAAAACAGAAAACCACACTCCCAAATTCCCTTCCCCTTACGCCGGTTTCCGACTTAGATCCCGACGCCATCCAAATTCCGATCGTCGTTTTGAAACCACCGTTGTGTTCATCATCGAGCGAGAGAAAAACTTAAAATTAATTGAAGCGAAACGCTGCCAAACGTCGGGAATTTCCAATCAAAGTCTCGACGTTTTATTTAGCTCGATCGCTGGGAAAATCTCAAATTCATCACCGATCGTTGCTCCGTTTACGACACCTCCTGCACCATCGTGTTCCTTGTGTCGTTGCGAGTCCGTCGGTGTCAACCTTGTTCGCCGTAGACGGTGGCGCGTGAGGAGGTGGAGTAGTCAAAGATTCGGCCGAGTTGAAATTCGAGCTCTCCGCCGTTTCAAAAATTTGAACCGATCATTGTAAGTATCTCGAAATCGCTCAAAATAATTTTTGGAAATTTTTCCGTAATTTTTAGACCCCCGGAGGTGGTCTCACGCGCCAAACGCTCCGCCGTAAGGAGAGTAAGCAGCTGAAAAACCGGTTTGACAGGTTCGAACCGGTCTGACCTGACCCGAATCGACCATTGACCTGACCCGACCGTTGACCGTGACCGTTGACTTTCTTTGACCAAAACTTAAAATGGCTTTGACCGACCATTAAACGACCATTAATCTTTTCCGAGTATACCTATTCTGATAGTTTTCGACGTCCCGAATCCGTTTCCGAAGTCCGTTTCGTCAAATTCGAACCCGAAGGCCTCCAAATCGACGGTCAAAGTGGTTGACTTTGACTTTGACCAAGAATTTAAATTTTCGAAAAGTCATACTTTATGTTTTTCGACGTCCTGATTCCGATTCCGCAATCCGTTTGACCAAATTCAGACTCGAAATCCTCCAAATTAATAGTCAAACCCTGAAAATACTTATATACTTAAGAATTTTAGCTTTGAACAATTAAGTAAGATTTAGGGCTGATAAATTATATTGTTTGAAGGTACAAGAGATTCTCGGATCGTTCGACAGCTCGACCAGCTCTTCTAGATCATTTAAAACACGTGTGCCAGTATTCACCCGTAAGACCCGTAAATTTTATGATTTTAGAGATTTATTTATGTTACCCATAAGTAATATAGGGTTATTATAAAATAGGTTTGAAAACTGTAGCAGAGAGTGGTGAAACCAACAATCAGTAGATCTACTATTTGAACCTATTATCGAGGTGTGTTCCGTAATTATTACTGAATATTTTATTGTTTTAATATGAGGTACATTGAGTTCTTTGGTTACTGTTTTATTGATGCACCAATTTAATGTGATGATTTATGGAATTTGTGACACGGTGCAATTGAACTTTTGGATTGAATTACAATAGTATAGCTGATCAAGCTAATAAATAAAATGGGCCTAATGTGACTCTTGGGGCCCCAAGATACATTAGGTTGGCTTCCCTTGCTGTGTTAGGGTAAGCTATATGGACTTGGACTTACGGGCCTAAGGATACAAGCTCTAAAGCTTATCCTTAGGTTGGATTCTTTTTGCTGTGTGCTTAAAGTAAGCTATATGGAAAATAGTTTTGGGAACTACTGATGGTGTACAAGAAAAGGGTTTAAACTATGATTTTCAAAAGTTAAACTCTTTTATGAATTTATGAGATTTACTGGACTATGATTTGTTTAATGTACCTATTGTGATTTTAAGGTAA